TTGCTCGTCTCTCTCAAACACACTCTTTGGGGACGATCCGTGGAGCGATTTGGCGTCCTGATGACGTGCACACACTTCACTACACTGCACACCGGCGGTATTCTTGACGCCGAGCCAACATTTGGGCCCACGTCTTCTTTGCGCGCAAACAGACTTAAAGCCCAACTGGCCGCGCTACACACTAACACACCGGGCAAAGAGACTTGGCCCCGTCCGCCCCGGCCCCGCGCGTCGCTGTCGGGCTTTACCTGCTGCTATTGGCAGAAGGGCCCTTCGCTTTTGCTCGTTTTGCTGTTGCTGCTGCTGCTGCTTTCTTTTCCCACGACTTACAATAGAGGACGTTTGTTATAACAACAGAGTAAACGTGGAGTATTTACCTATATGTATGAAAAGGAGAACATAATCTACGAGAATTGTGTTATGGGTTTTTCCCAGTATGTTTCTGGTGAAGTGTCAGTAGAACTAGAGGTATCGGTGCCGCAAAATTGATTTCAGTTATTAAAAAAATCAAACAATGTGCTAGGACCGTAATTGGAGTAATAATAATGCAACTGGTTAACAGATAGTTTCGGTGTGTACATATAGTTATAGTTTCTCATGTTGGCTTTTTTGTATCTCTGGTTGCAGAATGGTGACACTCAGCAACATGAGCTCCACACTGGTCGAGACAGTGTCCATCAACTATGAAGACTTCAACGAGAGCTTCCTCACCTGCGGCACCTGCCTGTGTAAGTTCATACACTACTGTGAGCGGGCGTCGAACAGAGGAGCTGTCGGTGCCGCGCTGCGGGTCACGTGGTTGTCGGACGGCCCCTCCTCCTTTCCCTCCTCCTTTCCCTCCTCCTCCCCTGCTCCTCCCGGTGCCGGTCGCTTTACTCGCGTTTCCTCCTGGTGCGGGCTGCAAGACTGCCTCGCTGCACACCTGCGTTTGCCTCCCCTTCCCCATCCCCTTACCCCCCTCGTTGTTTTCTGAATTAGTGTGAGTTCCGGGAGGTGCGTCGCGTCGGCAAAAGCAGAAAGAGGCGGTAAAGAGGGGAGGGAGGAAAGGGGAAAGGGGGGGGGGGCGATTGTCTCGACGACAATCGAGTCGCTTGTGTGTGAGGTCACTCGGTGCGCAGCGCACTCGGTGATCGCGGGGGCTTTGTCGTCGTGGGCCGGGGAGCGGGGAACGCCCCCGAGGGGCTCCGAACAACGGCGACGACGACCTCGCCGCGTGGTCTCTTCGGCGTTCGAACACGCCGACGCAGCCGTAGGGGGGATCTTGGCGTGCTGGCCGAGCCGGCTCCTCCCCGCCCACCGCATGCAGCGTCGCGGCGCCGAGCGGCGTCACTTTTAGAAAGGGCATTGCCCTTGAACGGCCTCGTTCGGTGTTCGGTCTGCGCTGCTGGCTTTAAATGCCTGCAGCAGCCCTCACTCCCGTCCTGCTCGCATTACAATTTTCTAAATTCCCCACCAAAAAAAGTATGCTCATCATTGATTTTGTGGTCACTTTTCGAAAAGTGAGTCCACGGGTATCACTTTAACTTTAACGAGGGTTATGACCACGTCACATGCAACCGAATCGTACAGTCTGAAAATAATAGTCGTGGGACTTGCCCCCTCTTTTTTGCAGTGTTTATGCGAGTGCCCCCCTCTCGCGGTGCGCGGCGGCGCGAGGCTTTATCCCCGCGGCTCGTAAAGTGAAATTAATCTCCCTTTATGTCTCTGGGGGGGCCTCCGGGGGCCTCTCCGCGCCTCCCCTGCTCCGGATGCGCCTTTCCGCCATTTGATTTGGGTCACGTCCACACCCGCCGCGCTGCGGGGCTGCGGGTGGCTGATTCGCCCCGCGTCCCTATACATTCGTCTAGTCGCCGTGCTTGCCGCTTACTTAGCCTGTCCTGCTGCGGTTATGGTCTCTTGCCCACGGCGCCTGACGGCTCGAGCGAGTAGGCAACCCGCTCGCGCGCGTGCGCTGCGGTACAGTCTACCTGCGGGTATGGTCT